CCTTACACCATAAGATTCGTTGGTCTTCTTAGCAGTCATTCTCTTGGTAGAAATCCAAAGTTTATGGCTACTGCAGTAGATTTAGGAAGAGAATTGATAAGGCGAATAATTAGTCTTGCTTATGGAGGAGGCAATGTTGGCCTACAAGGAGCTGTTGCTTCAACAGTCTTTACCAATGGTGGTCTCGTTAGAGGTTTCATTCCTGGGTACATAGCAACACGACGGGTCTACGAACCTACATACGGCGTAGAGCACACAGTTTCCAGCAATTACTACAATATTTTGAGATGAATCATGCTGTGGAAGCTTTCATCGTTCTTCCCGGAGGAGTTCACACTATGGAAGGTTTGTTCACCTTGATCTCATGGGCTTCTGAAGGGTTACACAATAGACCCATTGGTCTTTTAAACATTGACGGTTATTTCAATAACCTTCTCAAATTCTTAGATGATGCGGTGGGGCAGAACTTCATGGCTTCGAGTCAGAGGAAACTTTTTATTTCTTCATTCTTTGTTGATGAGCTTTTAGACAAATTAGAGTTTGCTAAAGCGTTCCCGGGATCTGGGGTTAGTTATGATGAGTTCGTGAATCTCAGAAGACTAGACTTGGAATTGCATTTATAACTTTCTACATGTAATCCAAGTTGTATTTTGTGTTTAAATAATATTATCCATAAACATCAATGGTTAGTCATATGCGAGCTACATTTGCTTCATTCTTGAGTCTTTCACTGTTGGCGTCATTTATTCACGTCAAACAAGTCAATCGATTTGTCTAGTCAGCATCCCTATGTTTCACTTAGTCAATTCAGACTACATCGACGTTTTTGACGATAAACAACTAAATCATTAGTCGCTTCATAGCAAGGCATCCGTTCATTCAACATGTTCGAGATGTCTATAGCTTTTAACAAACAGGTTCTTCGAACAAATCATCTATACAGAAGGCTCCTAGACGGGCCTTCTTTCCTTCCCCCTTCTTCCTCACCTCCTCGCCAGAATTGCTTCCCTTGGCTGCTGCTTGGCCAAACACAAAGAGAAGGGTGAGGGAGAGTTGTGGGTGTTAATCGGTGTTGGGGGTTACAAAGTGATGAGGGAAATGGAGAGGAGAGGGTGATATATAATAAAGAGAAGTAATGAGGAATGATGGGGAGTGAATATGTGTGGGTGGCGTGGGGATTAAATGGGGGGGTACCTCCCATAATCTCACTCCGTTGTACAATTTTTGACCTGAACGGTACGTGCTTTCCCCCGAACTTACCCAAATCAAGATCCATTTGTGTTTCTGGAATTAGGCCGTCAAGACGAATATTATGGTGTGATCAAATAATTTTTCTAAATACCTTATTTTTCTCAACCTCGGTCCGAGTTAGTAATTAATTAATTAAATTAACCAATTTTAATATACCGAGTTTCAAGGCGTTACAGTTATCCACCCCTTAAGAAAAATTTCGTCCTCAAAATTTACCTGATCATTGGTCACTGAAGAGATGTGGATAATGGGTATGCATAGATTCTTCGGTTTCCCAAGTCGCCTCCTCAATGGAGTGATTTCTCCAAAGAATTTTGACCAATGGAATGGTTTTGTTCCTTAACTGTCAGATCTCGCGAGCTAGAATCTCAACCGGCTCTTCCTCGTACGTGAGATTCTCATCGAGAGTGACTGTATCTGCTCGGATAACATGAGAGGGATCTGACTGATATCTTCAGAGCATAGACACCTGGAACACGTTCTGGATCTTGTTCAACTCAGGTGGTAGCTCACGGGTCCCACACGTTCAATGATCGGGTAAGGGCCTATTAACCTCGGTCTAAGTTTCCATTTCTTACAAAAGTGTAGGATTTTCTTCCAAGGGGAGACCTTCAAGAAGGCCTTGTCCCCAACTGCGTACTCAATGTTGCGCCTTTTATGATCTGTTTAGGACTTTTTTCGGTCTGAAGCCACCTGAAGTCGGTCCTTAATCATTTGGACCTTCTCCTCGGGCTCACGAACTAAGTCAGGTCCTTCCAGTTTCCTCTCGCTGAGCTCCGTCCAACAAGTAGGAGTTCGTACGGCGCCATAACGATACTAGCTTGGTAGCTATTATTGTACGCAAACTCCATCAACGGTAGATAACGCTCACAGCCATCCCCGAAGTTGATCGCGCAGGCGCACATCATATCCTCGAGGATCTGGATAACTTTCTCGGACTGACCGTCCATCTGTGGCTGGAAGGCCGTACTGAAATGAAGATCATAGCCTAGAGCTTTCTGTAGGCTCTTACAGAACTAAGATGTGAAACGCGGGTCGCGATCCGAGATGATAGATGAAGGGACTCCATGCAACTCAATGATCTCGCGGATGTATATCTCTCCCAGTTACTGTAGGGAGAAATCCCGACGTATCGGAAGGAAATGTGCGGACTTAGTCAAGCGATCCACAATGACCCAAACTGTATCGTTCTTGCGAGGCACATTGGCATCCCTACTACGAAGTTCATGGTAATACGATCCCACTTCCACTCGGGAATGGTAATATGCTACAGTAGTCCGGTCGGAACTTGACGCTCAGCTTTAACCTGCTAGCATGTCAAGCATCGAGCTGTAAACTTCGTGATCTCTCTTTTTATTACGGGCCACCAATAATGTTTCCGGAGATCCTGGAACATCTTTTTACTACCTAGGAGCATGGTGTATACAGTCCCGTGTGCTTCGCAAAGAAGATGTCCGTCACTTCCCCTGCTCGCACTACCACACGATCCCGATAGAACAAGATGCCATCCTCTCATACAGAGAAGTCAGGTCTCTTGCCCCGAGAGACGAGCTCACTAGTTTGTTTGCAGAATTCCTTTCCACGTTGTGCTATCATAATCTCCTGGAATAATGTAGGCTTAACTCGGAGTACGGTTAGATTCTTGCGACTAAGGGCATCGGCCACCACATTCGCCTTACCTGGGTGGTACGTGATGTGACAGTCGTAGTCCTTAATCAACTCCAACCATCTCCACTGTCATAGGTTCCGATCCTTCTGACTCAGAAGATACTGCAGACTCTTATGGTTGGTGAAGATGCGCGTTGTCTCGCCGTACAAGTAATGCCTCCAAATCTTTAGAGTGAGAATGATCGCCGCTAACTCTAGGTCATGTGTAGGGTAGTTACACTCATGCGACTTCAACTGTCGAGATGCATACGCTACAAACTTACCCTTCTGCATGAGAACACAACCTAGGCCATTATGAGAGGCGTCGCTATAAACCGTGCACTCCACACCCAGAGTCGGCTATTCTAGTACGGGTGCCTGGGTCAAGCACTGCTTCAGCTGCTCAAAGCTCTGCTGACAAGCGTCAGTCCACTCAAACTTCACATCCTTCTTCATCAACTTCTGAAAAGGTGAAGCTATCCTCGAGAAGTTCTTCACGGATCGATGATAATATCCTGCCAACCCGAGGAAACTTCTCACCTCCCATGCATTATGCGAAGTCTTCCATTCCGTGATCACCGAGATCTTACACAGATCCACCTTCACTCCTTCAGCCGAGATGACGTGGCCAAGGAAGGTGACCTCGTGAACCCAGAACTCGCACTTGGATAATTTGGCATAGAGTTGATGTTCTCGTAGAATTCTAAGTATTGTGCACAAATGTTCTGCGTGCTCCTCACACATTTTGGAGTACACCAGGATATCATCGATGAAAACAACCACGAATTGATCAAGGTACTTACGAAACATGTTGTTCATCAGATCCATGAAGACTGCCGGTGCATTGGTCAGACCAAAAGGCATTACCATGAACTCGTAGTGACCATACCAAGTGCAAAATGCCCTCTTAGGAATATCCTCCTTCTTGACGAGAATCTGATGGTACCCTAATCCCAGATCAATCTTAGAGAAGACTGTGGCTCCTTTCAACTGGTCAAACAAGTCATCGATGCGAGGAAGATGATAACGATTCTTGATGGTGACCACAGCTCAGTTGGCAATGAGCCAATCCATGCCCAAGATGATGTCAAATTCTCGATGTGGAAGCTCAATCAGATTTTCAGGGAAACTCTTCCCTTGCACGACTAACGGGCAATTGGAATAAATATGGCTAAGACGTAGACTGTGTCCTAACTGATTGGACACAATCACATGATTCTCTAGGTTCTCTCTCGGAATATTCGACAAAACCGTCATAGATGTACACAAATACGATAGAGTAGAACCTGGGTCAATCAACGTAGATATAGAAGTATCAAATAACGTGAACATACCCATAATCGCGTAATGGGCGGGCTGCTCAGTACGTCCATGCATCGCGTATGTGCGGGTTGGAGCCTTCCCCGACTGAGCGCTCGATGCCAGCCGTTTGGGTTGCCTGGACGCTGCTACTAACTTCTGGCTCTGTGCGGGCTGGGCGGCTATAGCTGATGCCACGGGTGCCATCGAAAATGCCTCGCAAGGGTTCGTCGGGCAATACCTACGGAAATGCACGGCCTGTTCACACCCAAGGCATAGACCCTGAGTAAACCAACACTCCCCTAGGGCGCCTTCGCCCACAAAGGGTACAAATCAGATAATCGTATCTCCTCTGGCTCTTTCCACTCTTCTGTGTGGCTGCTGATGACGGGGCAGGGGCCGACATAACCTTCTTGCATGGATGCGAATTGCTCGATACGGAGGGAGGCCTCTTGCTGCTCAGACCGGTCCTAGGCGGTGGAGGTGGACGAGGAAGTGCTGGCTGGGCCTGCTCGTACTCAGCCTTCTTGAGTAGCGCCGCATGAAGTTCCAATGCCTGCTTGTACATCGCATTGATGTCATGCCTTTGTGCATTGTTCAGCCTAGAAAATAGGTCAGGGGGTAGTCCCTCCTTGAAGTGTTTGCACCACTTCTCCATCGTCGATACCAGATCTCGGCCGAACTCAGCCAGCTCATCGAACTTCTGTCGATACTCAAGAAGTGTAAGTTCACCATGGGTAAACTTCATAAACTCGTCTCGCTTCTCCTCTATGAAGTGCTCGGGCACGTACTCCTCCCAGAAGAGCTCGTCAAACGTTGCACACGACACTGGCTCCGTGATGTCCTCTCCCGCACGCTTCCACCAATCATAGGCGGCAACCTGAAGTAAGGCGATGGCTAGGTCGCCTCTCTGCTCCATTGGAACTTGCAGGGTTCTAAGAACTCAACTTATACGCTCGAACCAGCGCTTAGCAACCATCGGTTCGGTGATCTTATTGCCTCGGAACTCTTCGACTCCATTCTTCTTCAGCTTCTCCATCGTGACCAGAATCGCCGGAGGAGGAGGTGGTGGTGGTACATGCGCCCCCGCCATCTGGTGGAGGAGGTTAAGCATGTGAGCCGCCAGGTGCAGCTGGAGAATAGGAATCGCTGAATGGATGGGTATCGGTTTCGGAACCTGTGGCTATAAAACCCGTTGTTGGGGGGGAAGCTAGACGCTTGCGTGTGCACGCTCACGTGCTCCTGCTCCCCTTGGGGACCAACGTGTCCTTGGTTAGGATCTTGACTCATTCTCTCTCTGAAAAGAGATTTCCTATTAGGATAAATAATAATAACTAAAATGATAAATGTTTACCTTCCCGGGCGGAGATGCGAAGGGGGATGCGACTGTGGATCCTGGAAAAAATGTTTTCAAGTTGGGTTTTTCAAAATCGTTTTTAAAACCAAATGCTCGGATACCAAAGTGTAACACCCTCCGTCCTGCGAACCCAGTTTGCCGCGGCCCAACGGACTGGAGGGGTCACACAAATGGTATTTAGGACCATCTAAATGAAACTTCTAGATTTAAATGTTGTAAAACGGAAAAACCCTTAATGCATTTATTATAGTAAAATTGTTGGGAAATTAATTCCCTTTAAATGTTCGGAGTAAATGAAACATTACGTTGCGGAAGCATTAGAAAACCAAATGTTCGGTCCAAATGATATAAGTGCGACAAAGGTGGGTTCAAGCCCAAAACTGTTCATAATATTAAATGAGTAACGAATCAAGTCTATGCCGCCACTTGTTCGCTGCCCCGATCTCCCAATCTTCCGGGTCAGGCTCCATGATCATCACACCTACTTGCATATAGCAAAAACAACGCTATACGCTCAGTATAAGCTGAATGGTAATCTAACAATAGAACACATAGAAATATTTCACATGGATATAGACATAATCGTACATGTACTAAAGTACGGGATACCACATACAAATTTGATATTTAAGATCTGCATAATTATTTACAAAGGATGCAATGCCAATGATTCATGATGCACGAGTTAGACTGCGTAGAGACCCCTTGCCCTTCGGTGATCATCCCATGTGGTGATGAGTCAAGGAAACCTTAGTCCCCTAAAGGAGACTAGAAATTGTGGCTGGTAAATGAAAGCATGTAACGCCCCAAAACATACCCTTAAATTATTAATGAATAATTATTCAATTAATCAAATTTGTTTTGATTAAAATAAAATATTATTGGGCTTTGGGCCAAAATAAAATATGTTTTGATATACAATATCAAAATCTGGATAAATCTCATAGAGATGAATCCAAATGTGTTGACTTATTGTGTGACCTTGATTCGGAACCTGGTACAGACCCAAATTAAGAATAAATGAAAAAATTGGTATAATGTGAACTTTGAAATGATTTATTGAAATAAATCATGAGGATAAGTAATATAAATTAAATGAGAGAACCTTTTATGATAAAGGTCAATTAAACCAATTTTGACTCTGTCAAAGTCAAACACCCAAAAATATGATGTTGGAAAAAGTATTACAAATAAATATAAAAATTATATCGTTGGATAGAGTTTAACTATCCGATCGCAACGGTGCAGACAGAATTCAATTCGGAGAAAGTTGGACCAAAAAGTGTACCTTGACTGGGACCAAAATTGGTCCTAATCAAGGATAACGTATAAAGTCCCAGAAGTGGCTCCACTCCTTCCACTAACGTGAAATCACCAATTAAGCTACAGGGACTCTAATGGCATTTCCCTCACCTACTCCCCTATATAAGACAACCAAAGCTTAGCCATTTCGTCACCAATTCTTGTAATTCCTTCTCCTGTTCTATTGCTCTGAGTGAGGAGAACGCAGTGGTGCTGTCAATTTGGTGAGAGGTCACCGAAGTTGGGAGTAATCATTGTCGGAAAATTCTCAAAACCATCGTTAAGCTTCGAGGTAAGCCCGTAGATATATCTAGTGACTAGAATGTTCATATAGATCGTTTCTACGTTCATAAACGATCGTTTGGTTGAGTTTTGTGTTTGACATGCTTGAAGAACTAAGAATCATAAACCTTGAAATTGTTGTTAAAACTATGAATTAATGATACCAAAATGATCTATGAACTTTGGAGAACATTTCTATATAATTTAGTTGAAGCTTGGTGACTAATCATGAACCTTGGAGAACATTTCTATATAATCATGATCAATATGAATATGATTTCTGGAAATGAAAATGATGTTTTAACAAGATTCAAAAGCTTTGTTTGATGCATGACGGTAAGCTAGGGTGTTAACACTCGATACTAGGCCGCTATTTGTTAATAAATGTTACGATGATTATTATGATCAAACCTTGGTAATATTCTGAATAAATGATTATTATAATGGATAAAGCATAATGGAACATCATTGATAATAAATATTGATAATGACGATCAAATGGACGACCCGAGTGATAACGGCTACATAACGATAATGATCTTATTCTGAGTAACCAATAAAGTATGGTTATGAAGGAATAAACCGTAACAATGAAATTGTGAATAGATATGTTTGTTTGACTATCTTGAATTAAATGATGATTATGAATTAATGAACCATGATTCAAAATGAATAAATTGATGAACAAAGAAATGATGTGTACTGTTAAAGATATCTAGAAGACTTCTAACATAGACCTCTTGTTAGAATGGACTTGTGATGATTTAATCACTGTTTTGTTGTTGCCTTAAACTAATTGTAGTTTAAACGTCTGAGAACGGTTTGCCTTAAACTAATTATAGTTTAAGCGTCTGAGAATGGTTTGCCTTAAACTAATTACAGTTTAAGCGTTTGAGAATAAAAATTATGATTTGGCCTTAGACTAAGAATAGCTAAGAACATTGTTATGATATGGCTGGCCTTAGACTAAGAATTTCTAAGAGCATTGTTATGATATGGCTGGCCTTAGACTAAGAATAGCTAAGAGCGTTGTTATTATCATTGGCCTTAGATTAAGAATGATTTAAGAGCAGTGTTGAAATAATAAATATATGAATTGAATAACATGTATGGATATAAACTAAACAATATCAAAATCATGAATGATGAATTTTGAATTGAACAATATGTGCATGATATCAAATGATTGATTATGAATTTAGATTCAGTTAATATGGATGTTTGACGCATTAGATATGCTTACTTAGCTTCAACGCTGAGCGTGTAGTATGTTTTATATGCTACACGCAGGTAAACAGAAGAACAATGTGATCTTGGTGGCAGATGAGGCGAGATTGTCGGGATGGATGTGACAAGTCTTGAAATGATTTATTATGATATGAAAATATTTAAATTCGCTTCCGCAATATTGTTGAATACTCCATACTTTATATGTTATGAAAAATATTATTGTGATAAATAAAAATGTTTGAAAAGTATTAAATTTTTACGATTACCAAGTTAATACTTTAGTTTGAAAGGGGCTATAGACATGGGCGGATTAGGATGTTACAAAGCCTAGTTACCATGTACGTACACAAGCCCTCCAAATGAAACTCGTTAGGCCCCAAAGGCTCCTGGACGGGCCCGTGGAAGAGGCGCAATAGGGTTGACCTCTTAACGCGGTTATGCCATGATATGAATGATCCTATAACATGGGTTAGGATGTACATGATGATATGAATGACTTATTTTGAACGAAGTTTTAATTTCAATTCATATGTATATTTAATTCCGTATTGGTTTTATTTTGAAAACGCTTTGTTCCTTAGCATGGTAATCCTTTGGTTGGGTTCTGGACTGGCTGATAATCGATTATTCCATGTTGATAATCGATTATCAAGCGTGGCATTTTCATGAACCCAAGGTTCTGCAGCCCCTGATAGTCGATTATCACTTTGTGATAATCGATTGTCAGGTTGGCTAGTTTCAAAACTCAAGTTCAGATGGGTCTGATAATCGATTATAACCTTGTGGCAATCGATTATCATGTGGAACCGTTTCTGAGCACAGAGTTCAGCAGAGTCTAATAGTTGATTATCACTTTGTGATAATCAATTATTAAGCTTTGCTGCCAAACAGGAGAATTCAGCGTGGCCAGATAATCGATTGTCATACCCTGATAATCGATTATCGGGGCACACAAGTTTACGTTGAAAGTTGAAATTAACGTTTTAAGATTTTATGTATAGCAATCTATGATTGCAACGGGTTTCGAGGTGATTTTGTTAATGAGTTTCATACCCATAAATCCTAATAACGGGAAAACCATAATCATGTGGATTCACAAGGGTTTAGTCGGGTAATCATATGAAAATAACGATATGAAATATACTACATATTCTAAAGCTAGAGGGCAACGTACTCACCTCTAGAACGAAGGGGTTGACGAACGAGAAGATGGAAGGTACGAACAACGAACCAAACAAACGGACAAATGGCTTCACGCGCGAGCCTTCTTTCCTTCCTCCTTCTTCCCCACCTCCTTGTCGGAATTGCTTCCCTTGGCTGCTGCTTGGCCGAACACAAAGAGAAGGGTGAGGGAGAGTTGTGGGTGTTAATCGGTGTTGGGGGTTACAAAGTAATGAGGGAAATGGAGAGGAGAGGGTGATGTATAATAAAGAGAAGTAATAAAGAATAATGGGGAGTGAATGTGTGTGGGTGGCATGGGGATTAAATGGGGGGGGGTACCTCCCATAATCTCACTCTGTTGTACAATTTTTGACCTGAACGGTACGCGCTTTCCCCGCGAACTAACCAAATCGAGATCCGTTTGTGTTTCTGGAATCAGTCAGTCAAGACGAATATTATGGTGTGATCAAATAATTTTTCTAAAGACTTTATTTTTCCCAATCCTGGTCCGAGTTAGTAATTAATTAATTAAATTAACCAATTCTAATAGATTGGGTTTCAGGGCGTTACACATGGCAGTATTCAGGTACCTCTTCGTAGATGGCATTAAGGTAGAGTTGTTGATTTCCATTCTAAACAACAAATTTATTGATTTGTGGTTTGGAGATATCAACTTCTACAGTGATTCTTGCAAGAGATGGCCTCCCATAGTTTTCAGTTGTAGCATCAAGCTTGATGGGAGTTCCAAAAATTTGGTTGATATTGTGTAGGGATTCCTTAGTATGCAAATGAATTGGTAAATCTTGTATAG